GCCTCAGCTTCCTCCAACTTCTTTTTATTCAGGCCTTTCATGATTGCAGTCATCATAAGTTGATACCTCTTCAGGACTTCTTTCTGGTTTGGCTTCTGCCTGGTCTCCTCCTCAACTTCATCCCATATCTGCTAAAGGATGTCAGCCTTCCTTTGCTCTTTGATGACTTGGTGTGCTGTCCATTTCCTCTGGAGCTTCATGGAAGGTTTGGCATTGGCCCTGCATTTCTTGTGATTGTGGAACCACTCCTTGTATTTCTGTATATGAAGAGTGTCTTCATATAGCATGACCGATGCCAGAGCCGAAACACTCACTTTTTCTGTTGCTTCAAGAGCTCTTTGTCCATGGTTGGAGCAAGGAGTTTGGTCTCTCTGGCAGCTGCTTTGAAAATCTGTCATTGCTTGGTTCCACTTGCCTTCTCCCAGTCCTCAACATGGGAACACAGAGTGGTAGTCTTTTGGTCGTTCAACTGAGGCTGATCCCCTGAATTGATCTTGGTCCAAGGCATGTCACTGTTTTAAAAGCTAAGATTGAAGACCTGGAAATGTGAGTGCAGGGGAGGGTTGATACAGTTGATGGAAGAAAAAATGGAGGACAGGGTCTTGTGAGCAATGCTTCCAATGTGTGACATGCCCATGCCATAAGCACACATAAGGCATATATTGTGCCGAATAGGATGATTTACATTGTTACAGGACTCATTAGAACAGTTGAAACACATCAGTTGGTATTTGCAGTGAACTCAGAGGTCCTGAAGGCCTCTCAAAGTTATTATACAGGCAATGACTGTGAACCATGCATATCCTGGCATGAAAATCCCTGAGGATGATTTACCCAAGATCAAAACAACTATTACATACAATAATGCATTGCATTTAGTGTTTGACAGTCATATGCAAGGACCCAACTGTTCTCAAGTCTAAGCATTCTATTCCAAACAACTTATCCAGGCAATCCCAGCCCTACTTCAGTCCATGATCAAGTCAAAGCCAAAGGCCTGGAGTCCTCCTGAGGCATCCTCTTTAGTTCGATGGGTGGACAAAAGAACAACTAGGGGAGATAAAGGTCAATTTGTCAAGGCTCAACGTGACAACAGAAGCAAATCAGTGCATTCATCCCCTAGTATTAAGAACCATGCTCAAAGAAGAGAGAGACTGACTCAGAGGGGCTTGGCCTCAGCTCGTATGCTGTGCCCCTTACCCAAGTATGTGCCCTTCATTTCAGAGGAAGTCCAATGATGGTCTGACGAAGTCCGGAGGACTTCCGGAGGAGTGTGGGAGAGTTCTGGAGGAATGCAGGAAGTGCTCAGGAGAGTTCCCACTGCAGGGTAGTACTTCTACAGGAAATGGGATGGAAGGGTAGGATGTCTGGAGGTCCAGAGGACAGGAGGACAGGATGTCCAGAGGTCTGGAAGTATGGAGGACAGGAGGACAGGATGTCCAGAGGTCTGGAAGTATGGAGGACAGGATGTCTGAGGGTTAGGAGGACAGGACATCCAAAGGACAGGACACCCAGAGGTGCACAGGACAGGATGTCCAGGGGTCCAGAAGGAATAAGGGCTACATTGGATGAAGTCTGATATAGAAGCAAACAGAGGTAGACTACCCTTAGGTAGAGTTGGAGAGACAGGAAGTGGACCAATGTCCAGAGAGAGGGTAAGTGCTGGAAGGGCAAGACTCCAGCCTAGGGAAGCAATCCCTAGACTTGGGACAGAGACATAGGGGACAAATCTGAAAGTCCAGAATTCTGGCCTAGGGAATCCATCCCTAGGCCTTATGAAAAAGGACAAGACTCAGATGGACTGAAGTCTGGAAGAAGATTAGGCAAGTAGAACAGGATCTAAGATGATATTCAAACTAAGGAAACTACGGGAGTATCTACAGGGGTTATACATATACTGGAGAATATCTGAGGGGATCAGTAAGCAACAGAGTAAGGCTATGTATGAGCATGTGGAAACACATTGGTAAGTAAGACAGAACATAAGTAAATGAACTCAGAGATGAAGACTTGTACAAGGATCAATTAGCAAGACGGAAACAGAGATAACTGAGAACCAGAAAGGCAAAGATGCCTAAATGGAGATAGGTGCAGGATCTCGGATAGAGGGCAGGAATAGGTCCAGAGATAGTAACAGTTAATATCTAGAGGTCTGGAGATCTGGGGATTCAGAAGGCAGGGCAGAAACAGGACTAAGATATGTGAGGTAGTGGATGTAGTCCGGAATCTGAGAGGAGGTAAAGTCCAGATGTCTTGCTGGACAGAATGTGCATAGGGTGAACAGGATAGGGGATCCAGGAATGAGTCAGATATGGGGTCCAGAAATAGGTCTGGAAGGTGTGGGAATATGATGGGATCTATGTCTGGCATACAGGATATGACACCTAGAAAATCCCATACAAAGAAGGGATCCCCCAGAGGACTTCATGGGGAGGGTGACTACCAATACTATGACCTCAGTGAATGGAACTTGGAGCCTTGTCAGCTTCAAAAGTCCATGGCAAGCTCACCATTTGCTTCCCTCATGCAATTTATTGATGCTGAGAATTTATCAAGAGTCAAAATGACTATCTGTGCCAGTGGAAGGACAAGACCAATGAGTACTTGGACCTGCTCCTTTGGCAAGAGGGTCCACCTTCAACCAGAACTTGCTTGGTCTGTCCAAAGGACAGAGTCTATAGATGTCATGGCTGCATGGACAAGCCCCTGTTCTGCACTCATTGCTGTAGGACTGCTCACAGCTGCATGCCTTTCCATAGGATCAGTCTGTCATATCCGCATATCCAGATCTCAGATCCGATCCTTATCTCATTTCAGATCTGATCCACATCTTATCTCCAATCCTATTCACATCTTATCTCCCTCCAACATCTTGTCATCCAATCTGTCCACTCATCCAGTCTGGTCCACAATTCATCTGAATCCACAACCAGCACTTGTCTCCTTTTGGTAATCCCCTAACTCTGGTATTTCGGCTATCTGTATATCCATCCTGCTCCCTGATCCATTACCTATGTTTCATTTCCATTTCATGATTTGTGATCCGTTTCTACTTACCAATAGACTATCCATATGCTTCATACATAGCCTTGGACTCTGCTGATTGATCATTCCATTAGATACCTATAGTATATAACCTCCTGTAACTCTCTGTAGCACCTCAGTTCAAATATCAACTTAGTTCTGCTCATTCCTGTCCTCTAGACCTGAGTACTGCTACTCTCGTCACCCTCTGAGACTTAGGATTGATTCCTATAGTCTATCTGCATCCACCTCTGTCTACAACAGCCATTACTGCTAGTTTCTGGTCTGGACTCATCCAGATTAGTCTTACAATACTTATCCCTCATCTGGAAGTCATCTGGATCTGCTATGCTACCCATCCAACTCTCCAGATGCATTAGTCTTGCCTTCCTGAAATAAGGGGCAATACTCAAGTAAGGGGCACAGCACATGAGCTGAGGCTGAAGCCCTTAGGATCCATTAACCCTTGAGTACAACCTTAACACAGTCAATGGACTGGGGGATTCTTCAAGGACACTTCCTTGACCAAGATCGGTCTGGAAATACACCTTGGTCACACAGGAGAGCCTTGCCCTGGACTTACTGATGAGTGGTACAACACAGATGATGAAGATGACCATTTGACCGAAGGCCCTTGGGTGCCCCTGGTCAATGATCCTCAGACCACCATGGTAGTGGATACCTCAGGGCTCCACTCACTGATGATCAGATTCTGTTGGTGCCCCAGGGCCCTGAGCACCAACATGCAACTATTTGATATTGGCCTGTTTCCTGCATCTTTCACTTTGCTGAAGACAGCATTCACATTTGTGGTGTTGGACAACTTCCTGTTGGACAACCTGGAATGCAGGACATCGGCAATGAACTACTACAGTAAGTTGAGGAGGGTGACATCCAGCATCTTCCCTCATCTGGTTCCAGTGAGTGAGGATCATGGCTGCCATCACATTGCTAATAAATGCTGACAGGACTGATACCGGGAATTGATGAGGGTCAGCAGGCAGTGGTGGCAGCTGAAACAGCTCAAGTGGCATGGGTTCAGCCATGAGAAGCCAAAGCCAAAGGCAGGGGAGCTTGCACTTTTTTGCCCAGCATGCCCACAGCCCAGCATTAATGTCAATTTGGCAGACAGGAATGCAGCCAATCCTGCCTGGCTGTATTCAAGATCCTTGGTAATGGACAGCAATTTCAAGGCTGAGCATTTGTATCCAGCCAATCCAACTGATGAGGTCACATTGACCAATGGCTTGGGATTCATGGTCAGTGATGCCCAATACAAAATGCATCTTGCTGATGCGCAGGACACCATGCAAAGGTCTGATTTCAACAATCACCAAGCAGTCAACCAAGCAGATGCATCTTGGCACAGGCTTGAAGTGACTGGCATTGGTGGGTGTGCTTGCACTAGACACAGGTGTTTCATTCCACATTCAATGGTGGACTTTCAGAAGGGGGAAAGGTTTGCTGTTCAAAATACTATATTGGACTGGGTTGAACTGATGCTTTGGTCAGCCTAAGGCAAATGAACATGGATTATGCACTGTGTCAAGCACTGTCTTACAACACCAATGGATTTGACCGGGCATTTACATTCTACGACATTAATTGTCAATATCACAAGCATCTCAACCAGCAGATTGACACGTTCCCATATCTCAATCTTCCATGGGGCATGGACATCATTCCTGGCATTGGCCTCTAGCACGTTCACAGACATCAAGACAAATGTTATGTTTGGTATGCCTCCAACTTCATCACTGGTGCCGCAAGGATAGATGGCAAAATCATGGAGACCCTTTGGGCACCATTGAACATTATATTGCCCTCAGCGAGGGGGATGTCCACCCCCCACTGAAAGGAATGCTTGGACTTTCAAATGAATGACTGCAATTTCATGAAGATGATTCACATGAGTGAGTAATAATGCATTGCCAAGATAACAAATACTGATGTGTCCAGGCAAATTCCTTTGCTGAAAATTCAAGGAAGCTGTCCAGGGAGTGAAAGACAGCCAATATGCATTTGACTGGTTGAGTGAGACCACCGACAATGAAACTCTAGTGAAATGGGAAGCTGAGGCCACAGCAGCTCAGGATGACCAACTCCAAAATCCCAGTGCCATGGACATATATGAAGTTAAATTGACAAAAGGTCAGTCACAATGCAACACCTATTTACAACATGCTGACATGTTTGAGACAACACTGACAAAAAAACAGCAAGAGTTGCGCCTGTTGAACTGCCAGGCAAGGTGGCCAGCTGGTAACATCTACCGCAGTGCTGTGACTTGGCTGGCTGCTGGAATTACTCTTGAGGAGACCCAAGTAGCCCTCCTAATTGATGTAAAGAAACTGGGAAGGTGGCCGACCAACACCCAAAAGCTGGCTGTGGCTCAGCATTGCAACTGATTGCAAGGCCAACTTGATGAATTCATCAGGGCAGCAGTCACATTTCTTGGTGATGAATATGAGGGCTATGACCAGCTAGATGACATGAACATGATATTAGATGCTGCAGAATTGCAGTCTGTGGGGTCATCATCTGACCATGCTGATCAGTCCAATGATGAAGATGACAATGTGCCAGTGGAGTTCAACCCCGAGACAGTTGTGATTCCTTTGCCCTCCAACATTGGCATTGACAAGTGCGCCCAGTGGGGTGTCACTGACCTTGTGCTGCAAGAAATATCATTGAGAGAAGGCCAGGCAAATGATGCTTTGCATGCCATCAGGGTTAACTTGGCCAACAAGGCCATTCTCTTTTGCACCATGGTTTGGACAGCAAAATCACAAGCTTGGTTGACCAGAGCATGGGCTCAGGTGCACTCAGTCAACAAGCTTCTTCAGTTGAGCACACAGATCTACTCAAAATGCCGCAAGCAGCTCATTGAACTCAGTGCCAACGACTTATTGACCAAATATCGGCCATTGCAAAAGGCTAGTGTAGGGATTTCATATTCTGTGGGCTTGTATAGGCAGATATTACTTAGTGTTATGTTCGCACTTTTGGTGCTTATGTAATAATCATAGTTTTCACCACCTACCAGTACCAGTCTGAGACTGAGCAGTTATTAGCATGATTTCCTATCCTCTCTGAGCACTGAGCTTAGTCCAGAAACCCTTTAGGGTTGAATAGCAGCTAGGCATAGCACATTTAGCCCAACATTAGAAGTCTACTTTCCAGTTCTCTTCTTGTTGTGTTTCCCACACCGGCCTCAAGGCTACTACTGTTGTGGCCAACCCAAATGCACACGGTCAAAGGAATAGCACCTTGGCATGGTTCTGGTCCATTGATGTGGAGGGAGATTCTGATAGCAATGACTGGATGAATGAATGTGCATACTCAGCCGACCGATGCTGACCAGCACAGTCTCATTCAGTCCTGGTTGTTGCTAATTGCTTGTCACAGTTTACCATATCCATTGGCTGTGTACCCTAACACTTTGCAATCATTGGGCAGAGGAGCTGTTTCTTGTCAGTTGGGAAATGACTTGGATGGTAAAATTCTTTCTTCATAAATCCAACCAATGGGTTGGCCAAATGCATGAGGCCGAAGCAAATGAGATGGTTAGTCATTGGTGCTATGCAGCCTGGCAGGCTCAGATTTATCTCCGACTCTCCCAGAATGCCCAAGATGGCTTTGAAAGAATAAAAGGGGTGGCTGTGGTGGCAGGGTAACCAGGGTCCACTTGTGGCCACATCTGCACTTGGACTCACCTAAATTAGGACAATGGTGAGTGCCACTGTGGATGTGCCACAACTACATTACCGATCACTACAAAATGCCTTCTGACCCAGAACTACACCTAGCACCTCCCAATATGTCCAACTCCTCTACAGTTTCTGTATATGATCTGAGTCACTTCACCACTTTGGATGCTGCAAACGTCTTAGAGTTTGCCACATCTCACTTTGCCACCATCTGGCTCATCTGCAACCAAAACTATGTGCCTCACACCCCAGCCTACAAAGCCAGCTTCATCCAGCACATTCAATGGGAAGCAGATGTGAGTGTCTCATCAGTCAGTCAGTCGGTCAGTCACATTTTACCTGATGACCCCTACAGTGTTTTGTGTTCCCCTTCATCAATATGTGTGTGGTGCTCAACATCCATCCCACCATGCCTGACCTCCTCTGCAGCATCATTGGTTGCTTCATCTGCTTCCAAACTGGTACCATCACTACCGATGTATTCCATGACAAATTCTTTGCACATTGTTCTCTGAGCAACCCAACCCTGGGCTCCACTCACCAACTCATGTGAGAATACAACCACAATTGGTGAATGGATCATTTTGACAGGTTGGGGTTTGAATTGCTGCTCTTGGACCTTCAGGAGGTCATGGAGATGACCAGAGACCACTTTGAGCAGCTGGTCGGTCATTTCTCTCTCATCCTTAACTTACACTCATTATTGTTTCTAGCCGATGGGAACAATGCTACTTCCAGGTCCTGTGATCACTGACCAGGCAGATGGAGATGCCCTTGTCAATCAAATTGTGGTGGTCAGGGCCCATCTCCAACAGCTCAGTGATGCATTGTCTTGTTTGCTGGAGGAGAAGACACAAGTTGCCACAGTGGCTGCAGCCACCATGGCAAGACTTGAGGCACTGATGGATGAGCTCTTGGATTCTCTTTGGTGATTTGTTGCCAAGAGGTCACTATTATTACTTACTGTACATACTGTCTTGCTGAGCAGTGACTATGATTACTTACTGTACATATGGTCCTATCCCTTATTTCACCAAATATCCTGGAAATATACATAGTTTTACTAAATGTGATTTGGTTCTTGAAGGTCTTTGAATATGAGCAACTGAAGATGAAGCCCTCCCACCAATTGCACCAAGAATGCTGGAAATATACATAATGTGACTTTGATTCACCTAATGTACTGGAAATGTACATAGTGCTACTACTTGTGTGTGGGTCACTTATTATATCAGCCAATCAACAATTATTTCTCCTCTCCCTCTCCCCCAATAATGATCCAAATCCAGACTGACTGGGCATTGCATACAACATGCATTGCGGCCGACTTTGTGTACATGATCTTTGCTTTTCATGTCTCCAGTCAGCACCAGTCAGTCTTGCCACCACTAGAACTGGATGTGCCAACCATGCTTGCTTGTCAGCAACTGGTCTGGGTTCTTGCCGATGCCTACACAAACCTGAGTCAGCCATTTCTTCCTCTCAGTCAGAGATGTACTGACTCATCCCAGTTCAGCTCGATCTTGACATGATTTGCTACAATGAAGCCCTCGACAGACACTCCACTGGCCAGATCGCAAAACATGAAGAAGCTCTGCTTCAAAAGTTTCCTCATCCCTCCCAGCAATTATTGGACAAGCCCTTGGTCCTTGTCGATTCTGGCAGCTGCATAATCTTATGGTACCTCCCAGAAGCAATTAACCACTGGATCCAAGTGAGTCTGTGTATTATCACTTATCAGCCAGCATTTGATGTAACCCAATAGGCCAATATGGACAGTGCAACTGTCAGCATGAGTTTTCTCCTCAAGAGGAGCACGTCCAGTGGGACAGAGACCAATTGGAGGACATGTTCCAATTATTTTCATGTCAGCAACCGACCCCCTCTGACCCTGGGATGCATCAATGTCGCCCCCTGCTGGTTCCAGCAAGGCCAAGAGGTAAGACCTCTTGCTTCTGCTGAGCTGCCAATACTCACTTGAATACAGTGGCTCAAAAAACTGTCTGCATGTTTTTGCATTTTTCACTATCTATGATATTGTGTGAGAATGAACAAATGCCTCAAGAACATGCTTATACCACATTGTAGTATGGCTTCAGGGCTTTCATTTGAGCCCTACACCGTGGGAATCGGTGGAGATATGGTGGAGACATAAGGCTTACAAAATCATGACTCATGCGGACAGTTTTTTGAGCACATATTAAAACTATATAAATCATCATTTATGACACCATAACAATCATGCCACCATTAAATAAATTATAAAGTGGTGTCATTATGTCATTTTAAAATCATATCTAACTATAAAAACCAAAAATTTCCATATGTCATGGTTATATTCACCATGAAAGCCACCCCCCCTGCTCAAAGGGATAATATCCTCTCTCTTTCCTATTCTGGCCTCCCTGCTTGTCAAATTTCCTCTAGAACTGGAGTATCCAAGTCCACTGTGGCCAAGTTCATCAAGAAAGTCACACAGACAAGGAAAACTTCTGTGAAGGGTGTCCATCCAAGCTCACCTCTACTGATAGGAGGGCTATTATTCAACATATCACTACAGGAAAGGCTGATAATGCTGTCCAGGTCACCTATTACATCAATTCCACCATCACATTCCCTGTCTCTTCACACACTGTGAGAAACATTCTCAAGACAGCTCATCTCAGGTCAGTAACAAGGAAGAAAAGGCTCTCCTCTCTATCACACATATGCAGAGATGACTAACCTTTGCCTTAGCCCATCAGAATTGGATTACACAGACTGGAAGCATGTTATATGATCATATAAGACCACAATAAATAGGATTGGGTCAGATGGCAAGGTATATATGTGAAAAAAGAAGGGTGCTAGTCCTCTCTGTATATGTGTGATAGAGAGGAGAGCCTTTTCTTCCTTGTTACTGACCTGAGATGAGCTGTCTTGAGAATGTTTCTCACAGTGTGTGAAGAGACAGGGAATGTGATGGTGGAATTGATGTAATAGGTGACCTGGACAGCATTATCAGCCTTTCCTGTAGTGATATGTTGAATAATAGCCCTCCTATCAGTAGAGGTGAGCTTGGATGGACACCCTTCACAGAAGTTTTCCTTGTCTGTGTGACTTTCTTTGATGAACTTGGCCACAGTGGACTTGGATACTCCAGTTCTAGAGGAAATTTGACAAGCAGGGAGGCCAGAATAGGAAAGAGAGAGGATATTATCCCTTTGAGCAGGGGGGGTGGCTTTCATGGTGAATATAACCATGACATATGGAAATTTTTGGTTTTTATAGTTAGATATGATTTTAAAATGACATAATGACACCACTTTATAATTTATTTAATGGTGGCATGATTGTTATGGTGTCATAAATGATGATTTATATAGTTTTAATATGTGCTCAAAAAACTGTCCGCATGAGTCATGATTTTGTAAGCCTTATGTCTCCACCATATCTCCACCGATTCCCACGGTGTAGGGCTCAAATGAAAGCCCTGAAGCCATACTACAATGTGGTATAAGCATGTTCTTGAGGCATTTGTTCATTCTCACACAATATCATAGATAGTGAAAAATGCAAAAACATGCAGACAGTTTTTTGAGCCACTGTATTCTAGCCACATGGTTTTCCAGCCACCAGTGGGTTCATTCCCAAGGTGTTGGCAACCCTGAAGGGGGACCATGGACCATTGGTCATCATATCAATGCAGTGCTCAGCCCTCCTTGCCTCAGTGGTCCTTCGGGTCATGCATCCAGAGATGTATTGGGCGTTGGTTGCCATGCACATCAATCTCGGTCAATGGGCCTTTGAAAACAATCTCAGTGACATTTATACTCATCTCCAGCTTTGGGCCTCAGTCTTCAACTGCGCATCCATCATATGCAACAGGCAATGTCCCCTTCACCAGGATCCAAGATTGGCTCCAGAGGGGTTTGACCTCATGACCAGTGTTGGCAATTACTCCGATGACCTCATGACCCTTTCCAGCCTCAGAATTCAGCTGCAATATAACTCTGGTTCTATGGTCACCTGCTCCAGACATATCATCAGGCATGGATTCATGTTCACTGGTGATTGCATCATCTGGGCATGGTTCATGTGTGATAGCCTTCACAATTTTGTGGGGACCCCTTGCCCCCATTATGTGAAATACATGGATGTAGTTCAGGATGTAATGGTTTCTGCTTAGATGGCTGTCCCTCTGTATATACCAGTAGAATGTGGTTACAACAGATTGATCTTCATAAATGATGTTTGTTGAATAGCTACAATCAACTTTACTGGATACTGACCGACTGCATCGGCCTACCCTATAGAATCATATGTTAGCATGGCTCTACTTTCAATGTTGGCCAACCAATACACATGAATCAAGAGCATCTGCTGGCATTCAGGCATTTATTTTCATGGGCCCATATGATAGCATCGGGCATTCATGGTCATTGGCCCATTCAATAGCTTCAGCTCCTATTGGCCCACCTGATTACATTGGCCAACACATTCCATCAGCCCATTCAATAGCATCAGCTCCTATCGGCCCACCTGATTACATCAGGCAACACATTCCATGGGCCCATACGATATCATTGGGAATTCAATGTCATCGGCCCACCTGAGTTCATCAGCCAATGCATTCCATTGGCCCATCTGATACCATCAGGTATTCCTTGCCATCAGCCCATTCAATGGCATCAGCTCCTATCAGCCCACCTGATTGCATCAGCCAACACATGCTGTCGGCCCATCTGATAGTATCAGGCATTCAATTTTACCAGCCCACATTATGGCATCAGATATTCATTTTCATTGGTCGGCCCATATGATGGCTTCACACCCACATCGGCCCAGCTGATAACCTCACACACACTCCATCCCATTTTTCCCTGCCCATTGGCCAACATGTTAATATCAAGTATCACTATGCATGGGCCCACCTGATAAACTCAACTCCCATCAAGCTCACCAGCTGAGTGTTAGACACAGGGAAATACTTTCGATTGGCTGAGGTCTGCTGGCCTGTGTGGAACAGGGAATTTTCAACCTCGGCTGCCTGTTTTATACAGGGTATGTGACTGAATGGGCTTGCACATCATTGGTAATGATATACTTGTTGATCACTTCTTGTTACAGTAACGCTTGCCCCTATTCATTTTCTTCCTTCACTTGTGTATTACGTCATGACCATGCCTCAATGCACCATCACTAGACTCATTTCTTACTATACCTGTATTACATCACGATCGCCACTGCTGTCGCTAGATGACTCATTCATTCCTTATCACTGACTCATCCTTATCTATGACTCATTGCTGACGCATACATACCTGCCCTAAAGTACTTACGTCTATATAAGATCGGTTATGTACTTAGTAGATCCTTACTTTAATCCTACTAGGTTTTCACCAGAACTTCCTTCGCTTAAGACCCCCAATCTTAAGTCGTCTGAACACCAATATTCAAGCCAGAGACACTCTCTCTGACTTGTCTTAACGACCCTCACATTTGTGAGGTCTTGATTCAACTTCAGCCGTCACTCTTATCGAGCAGCTGTCATTGCAACTATCCTAGTTCATAACACTTCTGATGTCTTCAAGAATTCTTGCATTGTTATCCAGATGAAGGCCACAGGAGTAGACTGCCATGCTTGACCATGGGGAGTCCACAGCCAGTCTCACCCACATGGAGTCTGCAGCCAGTCTCATCCTTCCTGGGTCTGCAGCCAGTCTTGTCCTCCCTGGATCTGCAACCAGACTCATCTCTCCTGGGTCTGCAACCAGTTTCATCCTCCCTGGGTCTGCAGCTACCCTTGTTTCATCTGGATGTGCAGCCACTCTCGTCCTCTCTGGGTCTGCAGCTACCCTCGTTTCATCTGGATGTGCAGCCACTCTCGTCCTCTCTGGGTCTGCAGCCACTCTTGTCTCTCCTGGGTCTGCAGCCAGAATAAGTTCCCCTGGGTCTGCAGCCAGTCTTGTCCTCCATGGGTCTGCAGCCAGTATCATCCTTCCTCAGTCTGCAGCCAGAATCATCCTCCCAGGGTCTGCAGCCAGTCTCGTCCTCTGTGGGTCTGCAGCCAGAATAGTCCTGTCTGTGTCTGCAGCCATTTTTGTCCTCCCTGGGTCTGCAGCTAGTCTTGTCCTCCCTGTGTCTGCAGCCAGTCTCATCCTGCCTGGATCTGCAGCCAGGCACACCCATCCACAGTCCCCAACCAAGATTCTGAATCTGAAGTATGATCTCTGCGAAGCCACAGCATATAGATGATAGCTGACATTGGCTCTGGTGACTGAACAAGGAATGCTAATGAGTCTTTCAACCTATGAGGGTCTTCATGTCGCATAGCTTTGCTTTGCTTCTTCAGCTCTGAAAGTGCATCTAAGAGAGCTATGCTTTCTGGAATCATCTTCATTAAGTGGAGGGAGGAATCAGCAAGTAGGGTGTGGGGTGATGGCATATTGTGTTCGCATACTTGAGGGAGGCTGCAATTTGAGGGGTTGGAAACATAGTCGTGAACAGATGAGTGATAGATATTCATGGGGAGACTGGTGTCAGTAGGAATATCCATGACAGAGCATAGCTGCACCAGCATCATCTTGGCATCACAGCCCTGACCAGGGCCAAGAAGTTTCAAGATTTGTGACAGTGGCAGAGGGTCTGCAAGTGCAGCAACAATGGACAAGTGTAGGTATGCCCGCTTGGGATCAGCACATGTGGAGAGGATACAATTGTATAACTTGTACACCTCTGTTCCTGCTAGCAGCTTGCTCATCAGTTCAAGCATTAGCTGTAACCAATCATAGGGATCCTTGTATCCATCATTGACAATAAACTTCATCATTGTAGACGCCACAATGAAACATCTGCCAGCTCAGCTCGCCAGCTTGGCAAGGTTATCCCCCAATGGCTGCAGGAAATTGGTATAGCAGCATCACAGCTCTTTAAATGAATGCTGCAAAAATATATAGATGTTGTTGTTGACATCAGCACTGTCTAGCGAGATGATGGTAGCGATGCCCTCCCCAGAAGTTTTCACTGGTATCTCACATGCCAGCAGGTGCACCTCTTTGTTCTGAAAGTGTCATATCCCACAATCCAGACCCACATTCCATCATATTCCCACACCTTCCAAGCCTATGTCCAGACCCCATATCCAACTCATTCCCAGATCCCCTTCTGCTGTGTACTCCACACCTCAGCAGGATCAACTACA